TTCTCCAACCATATGAACGCTGGTGGTCTCTAAAGATCTAGCATTAATGGAGGCTGAGGAGCAGACTTAGGGGAGGGAGGGCAGCAGGCTTAGGAGAAGAAACTATTAGATCCCGGGAATATTTAATTCAGGCTTTAGCATTGTTAGAATAAAAAGACTTTATATATTAAGTAAAGTGGGCCAAAAATGACTATAAAAAGCATAAGCATCTGTAGACAGAGACACGTCCACATAGAGACTCATTACCACACATATTCAGAAAACAGTGAACCGCTCATTTTGCAAGACTTAGAGGCAAAAGAACAGATTTTCAGGTTGTTAAATAAAGTATTACTCTGACTGTGTTATGGATTGTTTTTTTGACACAAAGAGTTACAGCCCAGCACTGTGTTCTCCACTTAGGTAAGGTTATTGATTCTACCTCACGTTCAGAAAGCTTTAGTCACATCCTTGACCCCCAGCCCCAGTCGGAATGACGCCAGGGGCCCCAGGCTCCTTTCCTCAATCCAGATGCTCTGTGGCATGCCCCTCACCCCCACTTTCAGCTAACAAGCAAATACCCTGGGAAAGGGGTTACATTTTAGAGCTGTAGCTAGTGTTTACAGTCTGCTACTTGGTGTAACTGAGTATCTGAGCAGGATGGAAGGAGAAATGGAACTCCCAAGTGAAGGGAAAGGATACAAAGTACAGTAATAGAATGGAAATGGTGAGGAATTTAGAATCCGAAATCCTGTATTCAAGTCCTATCATTTACTTCAGTGAAAACATTAAAAACACACTTTGAAGTTCTGCCACCCTAATAAACACACACATGCAGATGTTCCTCCATTTTTGCTTCTGTTTCTGGGGTTATGGACAGTGTCGCAATTCATGCAGTCATTCAGCAAGCATTTATTAGCACCTGCTCTGCACCAAGCACCATACTAGGTACTAGAGAAATAATGAGGAAAAAAAGTGAGAACTTTATGGAGACAGACTATTGAGCAGGGAGCAGAATGGGCAGGATTTAGGAATGTGTTAGAAGAGGAGACATGACCGAAGTTACAGTGAATTACTCTGGGTTAGGCTTGAGAGACTAGGCTTTGGTGGTGCCATTCTCCTAAATGGTGGTAACAGGAGAACAGGCATCACTGCGTGTGGGTTCTCTGCTCGCAAACAACAAACTGCCCCGATGAAGCAATAAAGAATATGTTGTGAGGACATTAGGCAGCTCATAGAACTGGAAGAACAGGAGAGGACAAGAACCACCCCAGGCTGTCTGTCACAGGAATGTGTTGGACGGCCGTGTAAGCAAGACTCCGCTTCCATCACCTTCTGCCTCTGTCCTTTCCAGATCCAGGTCCCCGGAGAAAGAATGAGACTGGCCCAGTTTATGGAGAGGCATGGTAGTGTCTACAGTGACAGACCAGTGGCGGTGGGAGGGGGTGCACAAGGAAACTTTTATTTTATTTTATTTTTTTAAAAGATTTTATTTATGTGAGAGAGAATGAGAGAGCAAGCGAGCACATGAGAGGGGATAGGGTGAGAGGGAGAAGCAGACTCCCCGCTGAGCAGGGAGCCCGATGCGGGACTCGATCCCGGGACTCCAGGATCATGACCTGAGCCGAAGGCAGTCGCTTAACCAACTGAGCCACCCAGGCGCCCCACAAAGAAACGTTTATTTTATTATTTTTTTAAAAAACTATTTATTTATTTGAGAGAGAGAGAAACAGCATGAGAGGGGATAGGGTCAGAGGGAGAAGCAGGCTCCCCACTGAGCCGGGAGCCCGATGTGGGACTCGATCCCAGGACTCCGGGATCATGACCTGAGCTGAAGGCAGTCGCTTAACCAACTGAGCCACCCAGGCGCCCCACAAAGAAACTTTTAGAGAAATGGAAATATAATGCTGTGGCGATTGTTTAGTGAGTACATACATGTGTCAAAACTGATCACATTATATACTTTCTGTGTAGTTTATTGGTTGTCCCGTACAAACATTGGAAACGAGCTTGAGAACTTCCAGGACTTTCCAGTAGATGTGTCCATTAGGGAGCTGGAAATAAATGTTTGTATTTAGGAGTCATTCTTCTAAGATCTAATCCTGCTACTTTTACTTAAAAGCCTTCAAAAGATTTCTACTGCTGAAATGGAGAAGAGGTTGCATGCCCCCCCATGAAAGCCCTACTGCCTATATTTTAATACCGTTCCCATAAGGCATCCCATTCCCTTGGCACTCAGAGTCATGGCTAGGAGTGATAGTCCAGAGGTATCAGCAGGGTGGGGGAAATGTCCAAGGCCTTCCGTGACCTGCTTGGAATCACCTCTCCCACATTCATCCAGCAAAATCCAATTCAAGCCTTTTCTTTGCAAGGCTTCCCCTCCTAGGAAAGGAGTGTGCCAGCAAGGACTTCTAGGGACTTACAGTCTGATGTGGGGAGACACGCACCCAAAGTAACTGCTATGGCAGAGGCACAACAAAAGTGGAGACCTTTACTAAATTGTGAGATTGCCACTTCATGTGCATATGGCCCTAAATAAGGTTCCAGCAAGGCAGGGGAAGGGGCCGGTATGCTGGACCTAACTAATAATTTTGCTTATTTAGGATAGATAGTCTTGGCTAGGAACCAAGTTGTTGACCCCTGATTTACAAAATGGTAAAGCTGGGGCTCCTTGGTGGCGCAGTCAGTTAAGCATCTGCCTTCGGCTCAGATCATGATCCCAAGGTCCTTGGAATCCAGCCCCACATCACATCCGCATCCGGCTCCCTGCTCAGTGGGGAATCTGCTTCTCCCTCTGCTCCTCCTCCTGATTGTGTTCTCTCTTTCTCTCTTAAGTAAATAAATAAAATCTTTTTTAAATAATGGTAAAGTTGTCCAGGGGAAAGGCTAGGATTTAGAAGACTGCCATCCTGGCAGCAGCACAAGAAGGGGCTAGAAGCCAGTAAATTGGGCAGAGATGAGTATCTCTTATTCCCTGCCCTGAGGCCCCTGCGGTCTGTTGACAAAAGGAAGGCTGCTCCAGTTTCTGAAGTTTAGCATTCAATCCTTGGAGAACACTGCTACATCACCACCAGTGAGGCCCCATTCATCATGTATCTGGATGCAGCTCTATATAAAATTAATTGCAAGAACATCACCCAATCCCTGCCTTCCAGCAATCTGAAGGACAATATTGACAGGCTAGGTGAGATATCTAGAGAACACTGGAAACATGACACAGGCAGGATGTACAAGATACACCAAAGAACAGCATACACACACTGCTTACAGTATTGCTATTTTACGCTAGATTAGGTGCTGAGCACATGCATACTGGATCTTATTTTTCTGCATATTTACACTTTTTAAATGAATGGTATGTGCCTACAGGGATAAAATCATGTACCAGCAAATCTTTTAAGGTTACATTTTAAAGAGAAAAAAGTTACTTGTGAGTGATTAACCATGAAATTGTGAAAGTAACATGACATTTCAGTAGAGTCATTGGCCTCTAAGAGTCTACAATGGGGGGGGCGCCTGGTGGCTCAGTCCTTAAGCGTCTGCCTTCGGCTCAGGTCATGATCCCAGGCTCCTGGGATCGAGCCCCACATCGGGCTCCCTGCTCAGCAGGAAGCGTACCTCTCCCTCTCCCACTCCCCCTGCTTGGGTTCCCTCTCTTGCTGTCAAATAAATAAAATCTTTAAAAAAAAAGTCTGCGGTGGGTGGGGACAATTGTTAGTACGTAATGGAATATGCTATGGGGGAGATTAACCAGATAACAAAAAAATCTCAACCTTTCCTGGAATTCATGATCAGCTTGTCAGTAAATGCAAGCAATTACCACCTTCAAAATTTAACCCTTAGGATTTGAATTTCCTTTTCTGTTGGATATTCTTTTATCTGAGAACTAACCAGGCTGACATTTTTCTTAACTTACATACATCTTGCCTACGTGTTACTTTCTCTGCTTTTCTTGGTTGGATTGGTAGTTTTCCCACATATGGGCTTTCTTCTTCCTCATTGATAACTACTGTGCCTTTAAAAATATATTTAAATAAAATGCATTTCATCAACTTACTCTGTTTTTTCCTCTGGTTTTTACCAACCAAATAATATCTTTAGCAATGAAAGCAACCACTCTTGCTTATTTTATGTTTTCGCTTTTTTCCTCACACTATGCTTCTATTCTGAGATTTTTCTGTCAGTCTTTACTCCCCAAATGAACATGCACCAGACCTATCAGTCTATATAAATACTGATTTCCAAAACTAGAGAACTCCTCACAGGAATAAGCAAGCAAGGAAATCTGTATCACTGGCAGAATAACCTGTCCTAACCCTAAATAGGAAGAGAGTCCAAACCCTAAATAGGAAGCCAAGATAAAAATAGCTAGCATTTACTGAGCACTTACTATGTGCCAGGTAAGGTTCTAATGCTTTAGACGTATTAACTCATTCTCTCCCCCCAGTAACTTCCTGAGACAGGTATGGCCCTAGGTAGAGAAATGAAACCCAAGTCGCGTGTCTAAGATAACACAGCAGAGCGCATTCCAGAGCCTGTGTTTATAGTATTACAACCTTGGTCACTGAGTTCATTAATTTGGGAACATTCCCTGCCACAGAGAAGTGAGTCAAGATGGCTAAAGTATGGCATTGATGAACAGTTAAATTGAGGTGCTCACCATGTGCTAAACGTGTGGCTATGGTATGGCTTCACTTCGGGGACGAGGGAACAGATTTTAGAGACGTTAAGTAATTCGCCCAGAGCGACACAGCTAACAAGCGGCGGGGCTGGGACTGTTTGAATCCAAAGTCCACGACGCTCTTAACCTCTATACTAAACGGCCTCAGAAGAACGTCAGACGAGGAGGATCCGGATGGGGCACCGGTCCCCTCCCCACCAGTGCTCCCAGCTTCCCGGCCGCGGTGCGCCTGAGTTAGCTTACACTCCAAGATTCTGGACACCGAGCTTATTTACGTAAATGATAGGCAAACGCAAGTAAATGTAACTTTCCACATCTGCTGGAAATTCAGATTACGTCGATGGGGGGCAAGCGGACAGATCCCAGTTATCCCAGTTCCGATCCCACGCCGTCTGGAGCCTCGGGCCGAAGGAGGAAGCGGCTCCGGGTGGAGAGTAAAGTGACAGTCGGACAAGGAAAAGCAGCCTTTCCTCCCGGGGGAGCAGAGGCGGCCGGGCAGGCAGAGGGAACCTGCAGAGGGCGGTTTCTCTCCTCTTTTCCTGTCCCACCCAGTCGGCCGGTCCCTCCACCCCCACTGCCGGCCGGCCTCCGCCGCTCGCTCCGCGCGTCCGTCCGCGGCTTCCTCCCGCTCTGTGTCCCTCGGCGGCTCTCCGCGAACCTCCGCCTTTCCCGCCCCCGGCGAGTTCAAAAGGACGCGCGGAGTGGCGCCGGGCCCTCCCCCGGCCGCCCGTCCGACTGGTAGGTTGAGCACGCGGAGGAGGGCATCGGGGGAGGGCGAGGCCAGGCGAGCCCGGGGGCCGCACGTACACCGCCGTCGCCTCGGCCGCCGGAGCGACGCGAGCCCAGAGCGGCCGGAGCCTCTCCCGTCGCGGCCGCTCGGAGCGGGCTGCTCGGACGGACGGCCGCGCGCGCCGCGGGCTGCCCCGGCAGCCGTGTGCCGGTAACGCGGGAGGGCCGGGGCGGGAGGCGGGGCCGAGACCGGTCGCCGGGTCGTCGCCTCGCGAGCCTCGACGTCCGCGCGGGGCGCCGAGTCCCGGGCCGGGCCAAGTGGGGTCGGCGCTACCGGCCGGCCGGTGGGGTTCGGCAGGCAGGGGAGGGCTGGCGGGGGGAGCGGGCCCGCGCGGGACAGCGGCTGGTCGGGGACAGGCCTGAAGGGGACTGAGGCCCCTCACCTCCACGTTCAAGTGTCTGGCTCCCGGCCCCCAGGCCCCGGCCCTGCCCTGCCCCCACGCGGGCACCGGAGCCGTCGCGTCCTGCCCTCCCGGCCCTCTCCTGACCCCTAGTGGACGGTTGCGCGCAGACTCGCGGCTCGGGGAAGAGCGGGGTACCTGTGCCTGCAGCTTGGTGAAACTGGGTCCGCTGTTAATTTGCATAGCTTCGCCTAACTTTCTCAGGCCGGGAGAAATCCCTTAGGTAAATGTGGTGGCCAGGTGAAAGGATCTCGGGGTAGTACGGTCAAAGGCAACCCACACCAAGTACCAGAGGTCTCGGCTCTGCTCTTGGCACCTGCAGCCTGAAGAGATACTCAGGGAAACCAAAAGGGAAGGGTTTAGGACTAGCCCCATGGGGGAAGGAATCCGGGAAAACCCGGCCCTTTCAGAGGCTTTCCTGGGACTTCGGCGTCTCCAGCCCCAGTAGGGGCCCACCTCACGCCTGTCTTTGTCCCTCTTCATACAGATCTGCCTCTCCCTGGTGCCCAATCCTCTTGCTGCAATGACTAGCCTGCTAACCACGCCTTCTCCAGGAGGTAGGTGAAGGCCTTTCCCGATACGAATGGTAGAGACTTGTTAATATTCCCCCACCTCCAGCCCAGGCCTGGAATTCCCTGAGCCTCAGCCCAGATGCAGTGACCCTCCTACTTCCCTGTGCCGGCCTCACACCGGAAAAGGTCCTGGGAAGCTGGGAAGCTGCGGAGGGCAACCAAAATGCTTGCTTTGGTGCAGTTTGAATCTGAAATCACATGGACCTGGGCCAGTTCCCAGTGCTACCACTTAAAGCTTTGTGACCTTCAGTGAGTGATCCATTCTCTAAGCTCCAGTTTTCTCATTTGTAAAAGGGGGAAATGGTACCTATCTTATGAGCTTATTCATGAAGATTAATGAGATAACCCATATAAAACACCTAGCACAGTGCCTCATATCTAGTAAGCACTCAGTAACATTGGTTATTATTATTAACGGGTGCTTGTTAGAGACCCACCTTTTCCTGGAAAGGAATTCTGCCTGCTTTTTAATTCCACTCCTCTGATGATACACTCCAGCATCAAAATCCATTGGTTCCTGGAGCTATCTATGCTCAGGCAGGGATCCACCTCATCACATTGAGAAAGAATTCCCGCCTTTTGTTTAGTAACCAAGCTGAGCCAGACAAACCATCAGATAGTCACTGATGGTTTTCGTTGTGTACGGTAGGGTAAGGGAGGAACCAAACCTTGGTTGGTCTATGTACCTCTGTTTTCAGGTACGCGGCCTCATTCGTCATTCATTAGGACACACTATCTACTATACTGATGTGAAAACGAGTGACAACCCCAGGGAAGTTGAAGACACTGTCCTCTGTGACCATGAAGCACATAATTCGGAATGTCCATTATCCAGGGAGAGACAAGAGGGAGAAGTGGATCGAAGTCTAGATTGGTCAGCAAAGGCTTCATGAGTGGGGAATGGAACGGGAGGGAGCACTTAACCTTGAAGAATGGATGTGGTTTGTACAGACCAAGAAGGGTGCAGTGGCTGTTCCAGATCAAGTTAGTGCCATGCGTTGAGACCACAGATTGCATCTTTCCCAGAAGGTGTTCTGGAGGAAAAGGCAGAGGACCTCTAGAATAAACCTACCCATAGGGAAAAGAGGTGATGCTTTGGCAGCTAAGTGAGAAGTTAGGACTTGGGCAAATTTTCCCTTTTTTTTTTTAATTTGTGGTAAAATATACATAATATGTTATTATTTTAACCATGTTTTGGTAGTTTGGCGGCATGAAGTATTGATTAACATTCACGCTGTTGTTCAGTCGTCATTACCGTCCATCTCCAGAACTGTATCATCTTCCCAAACTGAAACTGTATCGATTAAACAGTAGCTCCCCATTCCCCCTCCCTCCGGCTCCTAATGACCAGCATTTTACTTTCTATCTGTGTAAATTTGACTAGGTACCTCATATAAGTGGAATCATACAATATTTGTCATTTTTTTTTAAAAGATTTTATTTATTTGACAGAGAGACACAGCGAGAGCAGGAACACAAGCAGGGGGAGTGGGAGAGGGAGAAGCAGGCTTCCCGCAGAGCAGGGAGCCCAATGCGGGGCTCGATCCCAGGACCCTGGGACCATGACCTGAGCCGAAGGCAGACGCTTAATGACTGAGCCACCCAGGTGCCCCCAGTACTTGTCATTTTGTATCTAGCTTTTTCACTTAGCATCTCAAGTCCGTCCATGTTGTAGCATGTGTCAGAATGTCCTTCTTTTTAAGGCTGGATAATATCATGCATGCGTCATTATATATACATGTACTATATCATTTTGTTTATCCATTCATCCATCAAGAGATTACTTCCACCCTTTGGCTATCGTGAACAAGGCTGCTAGGGATATGGGTATACAAATTTCTTCTCGAGTACCTACTTTCAGTTCTTTCAGGTATATACCCAGAAGTGGAATTGCTGGATCACGTGGTAATTCTGCTTAATTTTTTGAGGAACTGCCACACTGTTGTCCACAGCGGCTGCACCATGTTGTATCCCACCAGCAGTGTGCAGGGTTCTGATTTCTCCACACCTCACCAACACTTGTTCTTTTCTTTCTTTCTTTTTTTTTATAGTAGCATTCCTAGTGGGTGTGAAGTGCTATCTCTTTGTGGTTTTGATTTACATTTCCCTAATGATTAGTGATATTGAGCATCTTTTCTTGTGCCATCTGCATATCTTTTTTTTTTTTAATATCTCCTTTAGAGAAATCTCTATTCAAGTCCTTACCCATTTTTTAATTGGCTTGTTTTGTTGTTGTTGTTTCTCATCTTGCTTATTCCTTATCCCAGCCTCGTGAGCAGGTTTTATTCTCATTTTACAGAAGCAAAAACTGAGGTTCGGGGTAATTAAGAAATTTTCAGAGGTTAAATTCTCCCAAGGTCGTGTGGCTAATAAAGGCCGAGGCAGGATTTTGTGCCCAGTACTGATTTACTCCAAAGCCTGTGTCCTCTCTGTCACGGTACACCGCTCTGAGTCTCACTGCACCCCACTGGCCCAAGCCCAGGAAAGAGAAGAAAAGAGAAAGGAAGTAGAATTCCAGGGCGGGTTCCCATGGAAAGGAGAATTGAGGGAACCGCCCTTTGTTGGGCAGGTCTAGAGCAAATTAAGTAGGTTGGCAGACTCAGGTGGCAAAGGATGTGATGCCTCAGTGATAAGAGATTTAGCCTGAAAACAATGGCCACAAAGAAGCCAACAGGTATCTGGGTTAACAACAACCAAAAAAAGGGTACATAAGCAAAGTAGATCTTGAGGTTCATTTGCAATTGGTTAGGATTTGAGTGGAGCCTCAAATCTTGTTGTGTTCCTCTACCCCAAGCCCCCTACCTGAGAGAAAAATGGTGTTACAGTCCTTCCAAGCCTGAGGAGAGGGAAGGAAGGGAGTAAAATTACCATTCCTTTGTTTGGACAGGAAGACAGGAGAGAAATGGTGTCGGAACAGGAGATAATGGGGGGGAGAGCTGTGAGCCATTCACCCCCTTTTATGCCAGGCTTCCTGAACTTAAGTTTACTTTGTTGTTGTTTATTTTTTCGTTAAAAAGCTATTACATGCCCCTCAAGGAATAGCCTTCTAGACCTTTTTTATGTATATGCAGACATATATATGTGTATGTGTGTGTTTATAGTTCCATTTTAATTTACTTTTTTTCAAACACGTAATCTTCTACACATTCCTGCCCTAGCAATTTGCTTTTTTCATCTCACCATATATCCCTTGCCAGTAATTACAGATCCACGTCATTCCTTTTGACAACTGTATAGTGTTTCCAGACTGAATGGCCTGTAATTTACTTAATCATTCCTCTGCTGATGGACATTCAGATATGCGTCACTCTTGCAAACAGTACTATAGTGAACACCCTTTCCATTCTGCAGTAAAATTCAGGGAACCAAACCCAGTGGACACGTCAACTAAAATGGTTAGCTGAGGCAGAGCAGAGATGTTTCCAGAACCTGGAGAGTTGATAGTGCGTGGTGGAAAAATACCTTGGAATGAGGAGATAGATTTGAAGCCCAGCTCAGCCAGCAGCTCAGTGACCCTGGGCTGGTTGATGCAATTTGCTGAGCTTGTACATAATGATAATACCAACCCTGCTTACATCATGACTGTGAAGTAGAGATAAAATAATGTATGTTTCATAAACTGTAAATAACAAATATAGATTACAGCTCTGTTTTCTTTTTTTTCTTTTTAATTTTAAGTAGGCTCCACGCCCAGCATGGGGCTTGAACTCACGACTTTTAGACCCTTAGATTAAGAGTCACATACATGCTCTACCAAATGAGCCAGCCAGGCGCCCCCATAGATTACAGTTCTGGCACTTGAAACCTGAAGACCCTAGCTCCTTAGCACCTAGCTGTTTCACTTAGTCTGAAACAGCTCTTTTATGCAGAGTGGAGTTCAAAAATTTGATTTTTTAAAAATATTTTATTTATTTATTTGACAGAGAGACAGCGAGAGAGGGAACACAAGCAGGGGGAGTGGGAGAGGGAGAAGCAGGCTTCCCACGGAGCAGGGAGACCGATGTGGGACTCGATCCCAGGACTCTGGGATCATGACCTGAGCCGAAGGCAGACACACTCAACAACTGAGTCACCCAGGGGCCCTTGATTTTTTTTTTTTAAGTAAACATTTTATTTTGGAGTAATTTTAGATTTACAGAAAAGTTGCAAAAAATAATATAGAAAGTTCCCATATACCCTCCAGCCAGTTTTCCCTAATGTCAGTATCTTATATGACCATGGCATGTTGTGAAAACCAAGAAATTAACATTGGTATAGTACTGATAACTAAACTACAGCCTTTGCTGAGATTTCACCTGTTCAAAAATTTGATTTTAAAGAGAATTCTGATAGAACACTTTCAATTTATAAAAATTCCAAAATTAAGGCTGAGAAAAGTCCTCAGGGTCAGCTAGTCAAACCACCCATTCTGTGCTAGAATTCTCTCTCCAGTACCCCATGAAGCATCTGGCCAGTTTTGCTCTTCCTTCTCTGGGAGAGACCTCTCTGTCCCATTAGTTTCTGCCAGTGGTCCTCTTGCACAGGTCATCCCTTGACATATTTGAAGGTAGCATTCAAGTTCTAGGCTCTCCCTAAGTTTCCTTGCTGGGCTTTCTCTTACCAGCTTTCCTTATCTGATACAGTTTCCAAGCCATTCACTTTGTTGGCTGCTCACCACACAAAACTGTCATACCCAGATTCAGCAGTCTAAGAGTGGCACAAAGTAGGGCCGCACTGTTGTCTCCATTGAAGAGCCCCATTATATTAATGGTGCCTAGAAAAACAGCAAGTTTTAAATTTTTTAAGATTATAGAAGAACAGGGCGCCTAGGTGGCTCAGTCGTTAAGCGTCTGCCTTCGGCTCAGGTTATGATCCCAGCGTTCTGGGATCGAACCCCACATCAGGCTCCCTGCTCAGGGGGAAGCCTGCTTCTCCCTCTCCCACTCCCCCTGCTTGTGTCCCTACTCTCGCTGTGTCTATCTCTGTCAAATAAATAAATAAAATCT